ACTAATACAAGTTAGAAATAGTTTGGTTGAGGTTTGCCATATAGTCTATTAAGATTTTAGCTATAAAAGACAAATCTTATTTTAATCTTTACACAGAGTTGAGGGGATAATTTACAAAAAGAACCTAAAAAAACTGGAATAGTTTTTTCATTTTTGTTAAGAACTTCATCAATTGTTTATAAAGCGAACACTACTCCACTGTCATTATAGAAAATTAAATTCTTGAAATAAACCTAAATTTTTTGAAAGTTGATTAAATTGGTATTTCAAAAATCAACGGGCAGTGAAAAATAAAACAGGTTGTTTTTTTTTGTTTGTCGCTTTCAATCACTCATTTTTTGCTTATTTTAGAGGACTTTGGACTTTTTTTGTCGCAGCAAAATTTGAGCAATACTGGTGTTTTAACTAGGATTATTTGCATTTGCAATGCTAGTCAACTGAAAGTTGGAAAATAGTAGATGAACGCAATGAAACAGGAAAAAAAACACTTACTTGTTGTTTGAAAAAACTTCAACTTTCGAATAAAAAAAACCAATGTATGTCCTTAAAGCACGTTGAATTTAAAGGATAATCTATGATTGGTGCTTTTTTGATAAAACTGAGCAAAATTGTCAAAACTGGATCACCAGGTATATTTTTATCCCACTGGGAAATCTGAACAGTGAAATTAATTTTCGAAACTAGAAGTTGATCACGTTTTTCGTGCCCGGGTTGAAGTCCCACCGTTAATTATCGCTTTTTCTGTAGTATCCCACTGATCGCTGTTTTCCAGCGCTGATTCATGTATAAGTTTTTTGCATAGATAAACCTACTACGTTCAAAACTTTTAAAAGTTAGGCGTAAGTTTTCAAATGTAGGCTTTCAGCGGAAATATTGGTCCAAAAGGTGATATGGATCTTATAAAATTATACACCCCCCCCCCCCCCCAAATTAAAGAAAGTCCACTCCTATGAACATCGATAATTCATCGATGGCGATCGCTGTTCTTTTCACTTTTTTATCGCTAATTTTCAATGTGAGCTCAACCCGGGTAACCTTACGCTTTTGCTGCTCGATAATGCAGTTTGCCTTCTTTTTAATTAAAGAAATGATCTGAACCTAAAAAATCACAAATCAAACTGCGGAAAATCAAAGTTGAACAGTGAAATTAATTTTCGAAACTAGAAGTTGATCACGTTTTTCGTGCCCGGGTTGAAGTCCCACCGTTAATTATCGCTTTTTCTGTAGTATCCCAGTGATCTCTGTTTTCCAGCGCTGATTCATGTATAAGTTTTTTGCATAGATAAACCTACTACGTTTAAAACTTTTAAAAGTTGGGCGTTAAGTTTTCAAATGTAGGCTTTCAGCGGAAATATTGGTCCAAAAGGTGATATGGATCTTATAAAATTATACACCCCCCCCCCCCCAATTAAAGAAAGTCCACTCCTATTAAACTATCTCAACGGATAAGCCTGCACCGAAGTTTCATGAGTAATACGTAAACGTAGAACTAATACGAGTTAGAAATAGTTTGGTTGAGGTTTGCCATATAGTCTATTAAGATTTTAGCTATAAAAGACAAATCTTATTTTAATCTTTACACAGAGTTGAGGGGATAATTTACAAAAAGAACCTAAAAAAACTGGAATAGTTTTTTCATTTTTGTTAAGAACTTCATCAATTGTTTATAAAGCAAACACTACTCCATAGACTTTAAAAACCAGTCAAGCATTCAGTGCTTAGCCTTGATATGAGCAGTCTTGTTATTACGACCTCGAAAAAAGTGAGGAATTTCTATGCGTGGTATGGTTTTTTTATTCGGTCAGTTTCTGACTTGTTAACTCAGCGTTATCGACAAACCTTTTTCTACCATCTGAAAAACAGTGTTGCTCTAAGATCAAAGTTAACAAAAAATTTTACCTGCGCTTACTTTTCGTTCAGTTATGGGGGGTTTGAAATAAGCCAATTTGGCCAATTTGGGGGTAAATAACGTGCGATATATTTTGTTCTGATAGCATTCGTAAGAGGCGAATTAATGAGTTCCAAATTGATTTAGAGCCATCAAATTAATCTTATAAAGTCAATAAGAAACACATCTTTTGCATTTTACTTAGCATTTGGGTGGGTCTGCTCGAAGAAATATATATATATATATATATTCAATTAGCTTGTCATTATCCAATCAAAAAAGAATTTTGTTCCGACTTGTCTAAAACGAAGTCGGAACATTCTAAGCTTCCCTCTGATATACAAGCAGACTTGTTTGTTTTTGAGTCCAGTTATCAAATGGCTCACTGGTTCTGTAAGGCAGTTTGCTGACCGAGGTAGCAGTCAAATACTCTTGCATAATTACATTTAGCCTGGTTTGACCAAAATTTCTTATCATTCAATTTCCATATATGAAAAACTTCTTACCATTAAATTCCATAAGTACAAAAAATTGTAAGAAATCTCTATGATAAGCATTTTTCCATGTATGAAATTTGGTGCCAATATTTACTAATTTTGAGGGGGGAGCGCGCGCCGAAAAAACGCAATTTTTTGGTCAAAATTTTCCAAAAAGTGCCTAAAAACGCCTTTTTTGACTGTTTTTTTTTCAAAAATTTGCCTGCGGCGCAGAAAATTTTGCCACAACAGGGGCAAAACAGTGCTTTGGGAGAGCTCAAAAAATATATTTGGTCGACCTAAAAAAAAGGTCGTCAAAATTTTCTATTTCTTTTTGAAAATCCGCCCCCCCCCCCCTCGAGAAAATCGTAGATCCGCCCCTGATTGTATGATAAGTATCTTTCCATAAACTAAAAAACTGATTGTTTTTTCTACATTTAATTTTTGAAAAATTTTAGGTTGTGTTTGTAACCGAACGCAAGTGACAAAGACCTTGGCTTGGTCAAAGCATCAAAGCGTGGACGGTCTTTTACAATGTATAGAAAACGACCTGAATTCTCTTAGAGCTGTCTTTCACAAATGATATAATGAAAGTAACAAACTTTTAAATTTTGGCAACTTTTTAAATGACGATTTTTTAAAATTTGAATTGTTAAATTATCAGAAATTGATCAAGGCATACGTAAACATGCCAAAGAAAAAAATAGGCGTTTCTAGCGTTTTTGAAAAAAGTTATAAAAGTTTTAGGGCAATCTTAAAATAACTTCGAAAAGTTTTTGTGTCACGATCAAGAAAATGCTAGTCATACAATTTCCATGAGTGGGGGACTTGTATAATAAGCATTTTTTCTTCAAAAAACAAAAGCCAATCACCTGACTTTTGTATTAGAATCAAACAGCCGCAGAAATTAGTTTTTATATTTTTCAACTACTTTTCGGAATTGCACGAAAACTGTATGACAAGCAGTTTTCCATTCACTTGATGTATGGAATTGTATGATAAGCATTTTCGGTTTATCGAGATCAACCCGGGAGAATGCTCCTCAACAATGAATTTTAAATTGGGGCAGCTCCTCCCGGCACTGCAATGACATTTTTTGTTAGACTGTTTCCAAAAAAAAACCATAGAAGTGACCCTGGGGCTAAAATACGCCAGTAATGAGGAGGGGCGCACGCATAAATTACGCAATAAAATGAAAAGACGAATGGGTGGGGATTGGAAAAAACAAAAAAACTTTTAATTGCATATGGTTCATACAGTTTTGGAACATGGGAGGGGTTTGGCAATTCCAGCGATACCGTCCAAAAATACCAAATTGACAATTGAGTCCCAGATTTTCTTTAGCTGATATAAATTCCAAACAATGAAACTTGAGCGTTATCATGCAATTAATAAAATTACAAAAAGACCAGCTTTGGGTCGTATAACAGAAAAGACCCGGGCTTTTCTTTTTTCTTACCCCTCAGCAAGTTAGCAATTCTTTTGTTCACTTTTGACCCATCTCATTAGACTTAAAACTATTGGGCAATTGTTGGAAACTCTTCTTCTATAGCCCAAAGAAGTTATACCGTCAGAGGGACAAAAGAGGCTGAAATTAAAATCAATTGCCAAAGTCACCAGCGACAAAAGACTGAGTCTTCAATTGTCATTATAGAAGATTAAATTCTTGAAATAAACCTAAGTTTTTTGAAAGTTGATTAAATTGGTATTTCAAAAATCAACGGGCAGTGAAAAATAAAACAGGTTGTTTTTTTTTGTTTGTCGCTTTCAGTCACTCATTTTTTGCTTATTTTAGAGGACTTCGGATTTTGTTTGTCGCAGCAAAGTGTGAGCAATACTGGTGTTTTAACTAGGATGGTTTGAATTTGCAATGCTAGTCAACTGAAAGTTGGAAAAGAGTAGATGAACGCAATGAAACAGAAAAAAACACTCACTTTTTGTTTGTAAAAAAAACAATGTATGTCCTTAAAGCACGTTGAATTTCAAGGACAATTTATGATTGGTGCTTTTTTGATTAAAAAAAGCAAATTTGCGAAAACTGGATCGCTAGGTAAATTTTCATCCCGCTGGGAAATCTGAACATTAAAATCTATTTTCGAAACCTGAAGTTGATCACGTTTTTCGTGACCTTTATGCTTTTGCTGTTAGTCGATAGTGCAATTTGCCCTCCTTTTAACAAAAGAAATGAACTGAACCTAAAAAGAAATCAAAAGTCAAACCGCGGAAAATCAAAGTTGGGCGTGAACAAATTTCCTGAAAAAAAAACAAAAAAATCACCAAAAGCTATGTAAGAGTCTTTACTATGTTCATTACTTTTAAAAATTGGGCGTTAAATTTTCAAATGTAGGCTTTCAGCGGAAATATTGATCGAGCCTCCCCAATCCTACGGTACAAATTAAAGAAACTCCACTCCGTTAAAAAAAATCTGAACATTAAACTTCATTTTCCAAACTAGAAGTTGAGTATGTTCACTAGAAGTATAATATGTTCAATTCCACACTCATTGAACATATTCAACTATTTCAACGGATAAGCAATGCGAAGTTCGTACCTTTGTAATTAGTTTTTCCAATTTCGCAATGAGGAGAGGGGAGGAATTGTTGACAAGATCCGGGCTACAATAATGGGTTTCTAACCTATAACCAGACTGAGTGCATATCCCCATGGTGCCTGTGCCCAGATGAGACCCAGGTCGGGGTTGTAGAGGGCCTCTGCAGTCCCGTTGATGTAGCCCCCACCCACCCAAGTGGCTGAAAGAAAACGAACACGGTCAAACGAGTAAAATTCTTTGCTTTCTGTTTACTATTATTAATGACAAACTTGTACAAAAATCAGTTAATTAAAATAGATAGAAAGAGAGGGAACAGAAAAACAACAGCTTATAGTCGAATCATTTTTGCGGTTACAAAATTGATTGCGGATTAAGCTAGTGTACAAATTTATATAGGGAAAGAAAAAAGAAAAAACAATTCGACACTCATTGAATATACTAAGAAAACCATAAGACTCTAATTAGGAGGTAATGGGGGCGCACAGATTTTTTAAAATACGTTAGTGAAGTTTACCCCCATAATCAGGGGCGGGTCTAGGATTTTCTCAAGGGGGGAGGGGCGGATTTTCAAAAAATTTTCAAAAATTTGGACGACCTTTTTTTAAGTCAACCGAATTGATTTTCCGAGCTCTCCTACAGCACTAAAAAGACGCTGTTTTGGTCAACAGATCAAAGAGCCGTTTTTTAGGCACTTTTTGGTAAATTTTGACAAAATAAAGCGCGTTTTTTTGGCGCGCGCTCCCCCTCAAAGTTAGTATATTTTGGCGCCAAAGAAGCCTTTAGAAAAATTTTAGGGTCGGTCGTCCAACAACTGATTTCTTAAAAAGTGCCAGAGGGGGAAATGTTTGGGTCGGCAGGGAGTTGAATCCCTGAGGGGGGTGAGAGGAGGGTCCTCGACCGAAATCTGCCCCTGGTTAGGGGGTGGTAAGAGATCGATGTTCTTTGAATGACTGATGACTGTTTGCAGGACCGAACGCAAAGTACTGAGAGTGCATCAACGAATTGAAACTGAAGTTGCACAAGGCAGTTTTTTGCCTGTATTTCGTGAGGCAATTTGCCTTATAATAATTCTGGTAAACATCTTTGCAATTTGTTTCACTCGTCATTTTTGCGTACGCTCGCAACTTTTTTCTAACCCGGATATTATTCAACAAAAAAAATTAACAAGATTTTCAACACGCTTAAATCACAACTTAAGTTATTTTCAGAACAAGTTATTATTTAAAACAGATGCTTAGAAAGTTGCCTGAATAATTGATGCAGCTTGATTTGCCAAATTCAGAACCAAATTAGTTCATTTTTTGACTCAGTCTAGACAATCGAAAATTACGCTGTAACAACCGGGTCAAAATATGAGCAATTTAATATATAAAACACTCCATGTAGCCCAAAATCAGAGAAGGGTATGACCAAGAGGTATGTCCGCCAAACGTTCAAAAAAATCTTTTAAAACAAAAAAATTTTTTTGTGAGTTATGTACGATGTACTGTGCTCATAGAAAAATTTCAGATAAGGCACACTGTCTGTTCGTCACGCTATCTTATTTTCGGCCGGATGGATTCGTGCAAGTTCTTAGTCTAATACCAATCTTAATCTTATTCTTGTATCTCCTAGTCTCAATAGATCTAGTGTATACTGGTATTTACGAGTTAGTTCTTTGAGTTTATCCAGAAAGAGAACAACTGTAGTCTAAGATTTATTCAAATTGTTCTGGTGCTGAAACTACAAGTAGTTTCAGCACTTACAAATAAGTGTCAATGTTAGTGATGGAATATGATTGTTTAGTTAGTAATATTTTATAGAGATAGTTTATCAATAATATAATTCGTTTATAAATACTAGTTTAGAACTGGTTCCATTAGTAAAGAAAAAATATCGGTTTTTGCTTTTAGATGGAAACAGTTATTTTCATAGAAAATTCAAAAGATCGCACCCCTAATCAGGCGCGGATCTAGAATGTTTCTGAGGGGCGGATTTTCAAAAAAAATTCGAACATTTTGATGACCCTTTTTTATAGGTCGACCAAATTGATTTTCCGAGCTCTTCTAAAGCACTAAAAGACGCTGTTTGAAAAAGCAGGTCAAAAAAACCATCGGTTTTTTTTCGGCGCGCACTCCCCCCTCAAATTTAGTATATTTTTTAAATAAATTTAGAAAAATTTTAGGGTCCGTCACCAAATATGGTTGTCTCAAAATAGTACAAATGGGGACCCTTTTGGTAGGCAAGGGATCGAATCCCCCTCCCCCAATCCGCCCCTGCCCCTAACGAATAAAATTGGGCTCCATAAAAAAACTCATTTGATTTCATCTGCTCATTATTTAAGGCAGCTGTTGTAAAGCAGTTTTTAATTAGCTAAAATGGAAAAAAAAAACAATTTTTGAATTTTTCTGGTAAAACTGTAAGCTATTATTTTGTTCTGACTCTTCCATTAAAACATCATTTTATCAAAAACTAAAACTGTTACCTAGATCATAAATGGGCACATCAAATCCGCCAATGGTTTTTGATCCAAACAATTTAGTTTTTTTTTCAGTACTAGGTCGCTGACAAAATAAAGCGCATTGTGATCAATGAGTCAGCGCAATACCCGTCAAAACTTTTTGTTTTTGGTCTTAACTTCTTGTGTCTATTATAGAGTAACAATCGCTGCCAAATTTTTTGCTAGAATTTTCAATTTTTTGTTCAGACTAATCAAAAAGTTAAAAAGAACTATGAATTAGGTAGGTTTTTGCAAAAATTCATACAAAAAGACAACTCGTAACAAAAAAACAACTCGCAAATTTTTTTTAAAAAAAAGCGACAGCTAGCAAGTTTTGACAATTGATATAAATTAAGGAGTTCGGTTTATGGTCGCCGGTGGGCGCGCTACGTGCATGTTGTCGCTTCTTGGCGATAACCGGCTCTGAATTTTGTATAAAATTTTACCCACAGTTGGTAAGCTCGCATAATGTAGGTTCGACTGCGGCGGTGAGTGTATTTCGAGTCGTCTTTTTTTGCGAGTTGTCTTTTGTTGCAAGTTGTCGTAAAACGATGGATTATGGTCGGTTTTTATTCGGCCAATTTTGACAACCTCAGGTAAAGTTCGTACGGAGATCAAGTGTGATATCATATTAAAGCCTTATCGGTCATGATTCGGATTCTAAAAAAAGTTGCTTTTTTCAGGCTAAACAAGACAAATTTTGCCGAGAGGCTGATCTCTCAACTGTAATGCTGAAAGAATTTGTACGTTATTTTAATTTAACGTTTTTTATCTATACTTACTGTTTTCTTTGCTTTTTCAATGGCAGAAAAATGTAGCAGGAAAATCAGACAACTGCAACCGTATATCCTTGCTAATTTACGAAAAATTTCTTTGTTATAGAGTTTGTTTAAAAACTTTGCTTGTGACAACTTACTCGCAAAAGAAAAAGGTCAATTTGAGATATTTGAACCTTATCAATTCTAATGGTTAACCTTCCGAGTAAGGTAATGCTGTTTCAAATTCTGCTTCAAATTCAAGCGCTCAGACTATTTTAGATAGCAAAAATCAAAATTTAACCTGTCATGGTGAAAGTACCGACAAGCCATCCGATATTTCTCCCAGCCAGAATATAGTTCTCATGGTCTGTCAAGTCGATGGGGGGTACCACCAGAACCCCAGGAGGTCCAGTATCTCCCCCAATGTTGTTTACGCCTTCGTTGTCCCCCGGTGACAGAGAGTCGCGCTTGTTGTCGGGCGCCGTCGGAGTACGGTGTTTTTTACCCTTCCATCCGGCCCACATACCGACGAGGAAAATAAGGAAGTAAAACAACACGAGTGCGAATAGCCCGCCGACGTTAAGTCTTGTCGTCGGTTCAATCGGGTCAGCAGAGGCAGTCGGGTCCGCATAGTTGTCGGATGGCTGATCGGTCATCAAGTTGTATGAAGTCACACTTTCAGGGTTCAAAGTTCTACTCATTTTTCACTTTGAGGGATTAAGTAGGAAAAGGATGAATGATGAGGGTAAAATTGTGGCTATTAATGGGGGATTTATTCGGCCTCTGGTAACCAGCATTGATTGAACAACAAAAGGTAGATATGGAGGCGTTGATTGGATGGGAGGAGTTAAATTTCTGTCTTCTTAAGCACCGCCCGATTTTGACTTAAACAGAACAGATCACGTTATGCTTCCTTCCTTTTAATTCTATCTAAAATCAAGGGGGGAATCAAGGGGGGAAATCTAATATGATTAACCAAACCTTATTTTTGCCAACAATGCATTGCTAAACTTTGGCTTCAAAAAAGGAAAATTATGCTTTCCCTTGAGGAAAACAGGGTTTTTAACCATAGCATTATGAAAGTAAGTGACTATTAGAGCTTAAATTTGTCGCCAAACTGAAGTGATGATTTTTTGTTCACGGTTTATGGTAAAGAAATGAGTGCACAATTCGTGAAATTATTTGAGTCAGTTTGTCCGGAAATAAACTTTTAATAAGGATGTGAAATATGATGAAATAAGGAAACACATTATAAAACCACTCTTTTCACCCGTTGAAAATACGATACATATTACTTAACTACTATTAAGATATACATCTTACATAAAACTATTATGATATAAGCTCGATGTTGAAATGATCCAGCTGAAGCAAAAAAAAATTGATGGTCTGCTTGGGTTCAAAAATTCCCGATCCCGCGCATTAAGTTTGATCAAATTTAAGCACTACCAGATCAAATTTAAGCACTACCAGTTTGGCGACAAAATTAAGTTCTAACAGCCACTTACTTTCATAATGCTATGGTTAAAAACCCTGTTTTCCTCAAGGGAAAGCATAATTTTCCTTTTTTGAAGCAAAAGTTTAGCAATGCATTGTTGGCAAAAATAAGGTTTGGTTAATCATATTAGATTTCCTCTCTCCGTTAAGAATCAGACACCTCTCCATTTTTGATTCTTTTTTTTCAAAACCCTTGTTCTAGGTTTACCCTTCAACGAAATTCAAGATTCAAACCAAGTTCTCCAGGAAAAAACACTGCAACAAATTGTTCTTCCTTCGATGAGGTTAAATACTTGGGTAATATAATTTATAATGAAATAATGATTGAAAAATGAGGCGAGAATATAAAAGGACGCTACGAATCAATTTACTTTGAAATCTAACATCAGAAATTATGATGGTATCTTTTGCCACTAGGGAATTTAAGGGCGTTTACTACGACGCCCCTTCAGAAAAAGAGGGGAATTCTTTTTTCATTTCTTATGTCTATTTAAATAACAGCAATAAACGCTGAACCTTAAATAAAACGGGAAAATCTGCTTTGGCTGCTTCTGAATGTAAAAATGTGTTAACACTTTTCGTCTGATTTAATATTACTTTCTAAAAAGGCTGGTACATCGTTAAAGATTAAAAAATTCCATTAAGAAATTGAACTACCTTTTCAACAATAAATTTGCCAAATTTTAATTTGTTTTTCGTTTTTCAACGATGTTAAAGTTTTCTGAGTCACAATTTTAATTAAGTTGAAATATTTACTATTTGCCTCGTGTCGTCACAATATAAATCTTGAAACAAGACGTATCTTATGGTAATTTTTTTCTCGGGTGTTGCAAAAATTTGCAGCGGGGAAGTATAAATAAAGATGGTAAACTGCGAAGGTACGTTAAGACAGGGGGACTGTCACGCTTCTTTTACAATCACACTTTAAACATTGTGTCACATTTCCTCCCCCGGGTCTATGGAAAGAGAGGGGGTAACTTTAAATTTATCAATTCACGAGGGGGTATCTTAGACACATAGTGGTCTTAAGTGAGGGGTTATTAATCAGTCCAAGTGGCATTCATTTTATTGGCATTTGTCAGGGCGTAAAAAGAGCCCACTTTTTATCTAAATTAGTCTCTCTCAAATCTGCTTTAGGGGCTCATTTTTCTTAGGTTTGACTAAAATAGAGTGAAAATTGGATGACAAACTTCCCAATGCAAGGGTAAGGTTTGGTACAGATAAATTTTTTCAGTTTTAATAATTCTAATATATAAATTATATATATAGAGAGTGAGAATTTAAAAAACCAATTGATGTTGGTGCGTTATTGTTTCTACTTTCGAATAAAGGATGTCATATTTGTTCTCAATGTGGTTTTTTTTCTTCAGACAAATTTTGAAGTTTTAAGTGATCACTTTTGAATGGCGTTTTTAAAACTATCTGAAAATGTTGGTGTCCTGAGATCTAAACTAAAGAAAACACTCATAGCTAGTTTTTTTGTTAATAGACACTAACTACATCACTCTATTTTATATATAGCGTGTGGGGTGCGTTGTCAAAAAACATGAACAAAATTTTTTTCGAACTTTATCAAGACTTAAACGTTTTTAAAACATGACTTATTTTTTCTTAACGGCAGTCGAAAGACTCAAGAAATCGCTCTGATACAATCAGTCTTGTTGGATAATTTAATACCGCGCGACAACAACTCGCTGCAATTCAAAAAGCAAAAATTAGACGCTGAATATTTTACGATAGAGAATAAAACAAGACTGCTCATATCAGGACAAAGCCCTGAATATACCGACTGCCATTGAAAGTCAGAAGTTTTTTTTTTGGCAAAAATTAATAAAGTAATTGGAAAAAACTCAAAAAAAACTTTGATGATTTAAAAAAAAAATTTTCTTCATTTTTCAAATTGGAAGGATATAGTTTGCCGCTGACGCTTGAAAATCATGAAATATATCACGCGTTAATTATTCCAAATTTACCAAGTTGGTAACTTTTGTACCTCCATAACTTTACAAAAAATGATCACAGATACAAAAAAATTTTAAATTTGAGCTCAGCAGGAACAAAGATAGCCGGTTATTGTTGAAATAACATTTTTTTCTTCAAATTAGTGATGCTTGTTCTGAGAGAAGTGATAAAAAAGATCTGAACACAAAAACTAGAATTTATGGTAAGCTAGACGAACTTTGTTGAAGGAATATGACTTGAGAAACAAAACAAAATTAGTTTTTCTTTTTTTTTGCAGAATTTTCTTTTGATTTTTTGAAATTTTTTCTTTCCAAAAACAGTTAAACAGTTCCAAAAACTAATTTCAATACAAAAACAAATGAATTGGATACAAAAAAAAACTATCGTAAAAGGCTTAATTTGAGCATGCCTGCCCGCTCGTTTTATTCGCTGGAAATTAAGACTAAAAATTAGAACATTTAACATTTTTTTCTTAATACTGGGACAAAGTTGTGAACATTTTGTGATGTCAACCGAATAACGAATGAAAGAGCTAAAAAATAAAATATCACTGGACCCATTATGATGATTATTTGCTCAACCTGATTTTGTGTGGAAAAAAAGAAACAAACAAAAATACACCTTTCACCCTAACACAAAGTTCCTCCCCATTTTCAATCATCGGAAAAGTATATTGATTTAGCAGCAATCAAGAGGTTATGATTTAGCGAGCGTCGGACTCAACAAAAAAAGATTCACGGAATACATAACAATCAATCTGGATAGAGCTCCTTTGCAATTTTTGTAACTTTAACGGTCGCGTGCTACAAATTGTCGCCAGCGAAGAGTTTTTGTCATAACCGTTAGTGCAAGTTTTTAATATTTCTTTTGGAAAAAGGTTCATACTATTATCATCAACTAGACTAGATATGATAAATAAATATCAAACAAAATGTTCACGGCTTCAAGTCCGATCAAATTGTATTGCAAGTTGTACAAATAAAAGTTTTAAAAAGTTTGTTCAATTTTTTCCTAACATTTTCTACTTCCAAAATAAAACAAGTTTAACTTTGAATTTTTTTGATTGAAATGAACACAATCTTTCCGCATTTTTAAAAACCAAAAATGTTGACAAATATTTGAACTAGCAATAAACTTAATACCTAATTAATTTTAAGTGGTTTATTTAAGCTTACTAATTTAAAATTAAATGGACAAGTCCGAGTTTGGTGATTATTTGCAAAAATCAACTCATGAGTCTTCAACCCGGTCGAGGTATTTAGATTGGTCAAATGTAAAAAACCAAAAAAAGATACCTAACAAACAATTTTCATTGCTTTCCTCTGCAGTTCGAAAAAAATAAGGCAAATAGCAAACCATTTTAAGTTTCCGATTCACTGTTTGCCCATATTTGGTTCAGAAAAAAAACAAAAAGCTTCACTAAAAAGTTTTAAAATATTGCAGCTTAGAAATAGTGATAAAATTAGGAAAAATTAGCATTTAAATTTATTTCTTTTTGCTCTTCTTAGGGATAAATTTGAAGCCAAAAAAAGTTCTATTTAAACATAGAATAAAGAAAAATCCAGTACTAACTACAGAATGAGTGAAAATATAAAATCTTTTTGCCGGTTTTGGGAATTCCTATAAAAAAATTGGTCAAAGTTAACTATCGAAGGAATGAAAATTTGGATTTTTTTTGCCCATCTGATGGATAATTGAAGGCAACATGTAGTATAAGCGGAATGATCATTGAGAAATGGTTGACAATACTGGAATATTCGCAAAAAAGAAGTGCGGAGAACACAGATCGACCCAAAAACTAAAATTGAACAAGGATAGCCGGTTACTGTGCAAGTGGCACAGAATGTTCGGACCATAGTCTTAGAAAAAGCACAACAAAGTTTTTTCAAATTATTGTCGTTTTTTTCGGCGTGGTGTGATAAAAGGAGCTGAACAAAAAACTGGACATTAGGCATAATTGACAACCATAGTAAAGTAAGAAAATTATTGAAAAACAGATTTTTTTAGAAAAATTACTTGAAAAATGAAAACAAAATCGGATGTTTTTTTTTCTTTTTTTTTTGAATTTTTGAACGTTTTGATTCCAAAAAGCCGCTAAAATACTCAAATTGAACCAAAGTTAATCAAGTAAAAATTAAGTGATGAATTGAATTGAGACTGAAGCAATTGAAAGAATGAGAAAAAAAATAAAAAGAAACTCAATGAAAAAATTTAGTTGAATATTCTAACAAACTTAGGAAAAATTTGATTTCCTAATGTCTATATTTCTTTTTAATGGTTGGATTGAAAAGATAAAAACTAAATATGTTCTCAAAGAAAATAAAAAATGAGTTGAAAACTAAAGAAATCTCAAGATAAAACGCCACAAATTAATGCACAATTTTTATCTCGTTACTTCAGTTTTTTGGAAAGATTTTTTAATCAAAGAAACTATTTTTTTTTCAAACAAACTTCCTTTACGCTTAGCTTGGTTTAAAGCCCAAATTATTACCAATTAGCTATTTAATGTGACTAAAACGTTCATTCCGTGGGGGCAAATTAAGCAACGTATAAAGGAGGAAATGGTCAAAATAAGCTCATAAAACACTGAGGTAGGATGTTAACTTGATCGAATTAGGGTTCGATGGATAATTAAACCAATTTTAAAGTTTGCATATATTGTAATAAAAATGCAAACCAGGCTCTGATTTTTTTATTACTAGAAGGATCAATCAGCTGATTACCATTGAAAATAGAGTAGAGAAACTTTTAAAATAAAATAATTAAGCTCTATTGTCGGGATTAGTACGAATATATTTAAGTCACAATGAAAAAGCAAAGCACCAGTAGTGGGGTTTTCGCTAAACTATACGGGAAAAGGTATACGGGTGGGGGGGGGGGTGGTTGAGGTAGGATGTTAACTTGATCGAATTAGGGTTCGATGGATAATTAAACCAATTTTAAAGTTTTGATTCAATTTTTTTGAAGTATTTTGCCATATTTTGTTGGATAGCATCGTCCATGGGAAGCAGCGAAGACATATAATTTAAAAAAACCTCCTTGCTGCGAATAATATAATTTGTATTATTCGACAATTATTACCTGTAGTTTAGTCGGCAATTACTGATTTACACTTGCATAACCTATTGCGGAAAACAGCTGAAGCTCTAGCTGAAAAGATTGCCTCTTTTGCGAAGTGCAGATTGATAATGAACGACAATTTTATAGAGCGACAATTCATAACAGGCGGGGATAAATTTGTGGGCAATTGATCTACGCGCACTTTTTTCATTGTGACGATTGTATGCGCAGTGTAACGAAGCGGAGCAATCACTCCTTACTTGCCAATGACCGCCTTAAGAAAATGTCACCTAGTAGAAAATGAAGTCTATTACAATAGTTCATCAAAACTGCAAGCAATAACGGATCAAGTTAACATCCCCCCCCCCCCCCCCCCCCCCCAGATAGACCAATTTAAGATCTTCCACCCCAGCATTTAATTCGCATTAATTTTGCTAAGCGCTGCATGTAAAATGCTCGTCGATTGTGATTGGCTGAAAATTTCTAACTTAGAGTCAAGTTAACATCCTCCCCCCAAACGGAATATTTGTGCTCGGGATAGATTTTTTTCCTTCAGACAATTTTCGACTTTTTAACTAGCCATTTTGACGGAATTTTTTAAATATCATTCGAAAGGCATGGTTACCTGAGCTTAAATTTGAAAAGATATATTACCTGTGATCATTTTTCGTAAAGTTAAGGGGGTTTAAAATTGGTAGTTTGGCCAACTTGGGACAATTAACCCACGATTAACGCGTAAGCGGGGATTAAATCCGTCTTAAAAATTGTTCCAAATTGGTTGAAGGAAGATTATATGCCATATTTGCTTTGTTACTAGGAGCAAAATCTATCACGTTGTACTTTATATGGCATGTGGGGGGATGATTTCCACAAAAAATCTCTAATTAAAAGAAATTCATTGTATTTTTTTTATTTTATTACTGCTCCATAGACCTTATAAGGCAGTCGGAACATTCTTGAGCAGTTTTTTCTGCACTTTGCATCTACTCGAAAAGTTATTTGAAACGCGTTTCAAGAAAAACAAAATTTGAAACGCGTTTCAAGAAAAACTAAATCCCTCCATCAAACAAAAAAGAGCTATCAGATTCTACTTCAATAATTTAATTTCAATCAGGTACAAAAAATAAGTAAACAATAATAAAAATGAGGAGCTATTGTTTTTTTTGCAATTAATTTGAAAGAAAGCAGGCAGAA